TGAAAACTGCGAAAATGCCATTTTTCTCAAGTTAGGTGCAGGCAACCTAGTGCTGACCCTGGAACACACTATAACACTGGATCCAGGAAGCAAAAATAGAAAACCAAATGTTAAAATGCTAGTTTTGTTGAAATGAGTGATGAAGCTTCCACTAATTTCATTAGAGTCAAAATTCCACCCTCCATTTTTAGTTTCAGTCTGGTTTCTTATGCACAATTAGAGTCATTAAAGTTATTTTTACCATGACATCTCTAAGCTGTCTACCATGCTGTCTGGCTATTCAGATTTCAGATGTATGCACTGGATTCCTAGCAGACAGATGGAGAAAGAGAAAGAGCAGAGAAGGAGGTGGTCAAATGAGTCTGAGAAAGAAAATCAGGATAACCTATAAATGCTGATGTGGGAGATCATTCTGTAAAGTCATCCAATGAGGGTGTAAGAAAAGCTAAATGGGAAGAATCTGAATTAAAGAGGATATATCACAGAATGTTTCTGTAGGAGGGGAAATATTAATACATAATGCACACACAAAACTCAAGCATTCGTATTTCCAGACACAGACAAACAGACTTTTGGCAAGAGGAATTATTATCTAGCATTTAACCCTGTTTTTTTCTGATCTCAATTCTTTCTGCATTGCCATGAGTTTATGCAGGGAAAAAATAGGAGATAGTTTTAATAGAAATGATGGAGCTAACAAGTCCTGTGACATTGGCATGAGAAACAGTTGAAGTACCATTTGCTTTTTTCACAGTCTAATAAATTTGTACTTTGTGTCCTTTTTGGCACCAGGAGAAGACACCAAGGATCTAGTGCACTTATTTTTCCTCAAGCAGAGTGGAAATGGTATTAGCAGTGCAGAATCAAGCCTTCGCAATTTAATCCTTATTTTGCTCAATGGGTGTGTGGGGTGTGGGATTTATTACTCTATTATCTCTTTATGCTCTGGATATGAGCAACATTTGGTGACAGGAACTAAGCTGACTGACTTAGGTAAGAAAACACGGCCTACTATTTCTTTGCTAAATAACAAAACACATTCCCTCTTCGTTCTTTTGGAAAACTTTGTAGGTTAAAGATTTTGTAGGTTATAGGTTGGGGGGATTAAATTTGTTTGCTTGTTTATTTTTATTTTTAAAACTGTAGGAGAAGGAGAAGGAGAGATTGAGGTGAAATAAGCCAAGAAATTTCAGAAAAATCTTGGCTCAGGACCTGAGGAGATGGATATACACAGAAAGAGAGAAAGACAATAGAGGATGAATGCAGAGGATCAGTTTGCCCCCTGCTCATTGTATAGTTTAGCACAACTAACCAGAGAATTAAATTCCTTTTTTCAGTTAGTACCTTAGCTTTAGTAAGCTTGTCTATTTGGTCAGTATCCAGAGAAAAAGTTTTGTACTTGCTCTGTACCTTTATATTTTAAATCCTGGAGCCACGTTCTGTGCAAATAACCTATTTATTTTTATTTAAATGGCATATATAGCATGGCATATCTAGTACATACTATGTTGGAAAGACAATTAAAATTTAATGTAAATATAATTGTCTTTTAGACTGAAAATCATGATCCTGCATGCTTAGCGCTATAGGTCACATTGAATCTTGAATTCAGCATCCAGTCTCCAACACACATATTTCTACAAAAAAAACCCATGGTCTGATACTTAGACATATGAGGGTGAAGGCTCTGGGCCATATTGCTTTGCGTTTCAGAGAAGAATGATGAAATCACACCTCCAGCTGTGGCCATCTTTTCCCCATAAAAGCAAGAGATCCAACAGAAAAGCAAGGCCACGCTGGTATGCCTGGCCTCTGGTTTCTACCCTGACCACCTGAATCTGGTCTGGAAGGTGAATGGTGCTACGAGGACAGAAGGGGTGGGGACAGATGAGTTTTCCACACAGAATGGGAATACCTACTCATTGACCAGCTGCCTGAGGATCTCAGCCCAGGAATGGTTCTATCCTTTGAACCATTTTGAGTGTGTTGCCAATTTTTTTAAGAATGGAACACTGGAATTGATACAGAAATTAATCTACAGTGATGCTGGTGAGTAAAATATATGTGGGTGTGGGGTTCATCCTCTGTAGCCTCCTATATCTAGAGTAAGCAGTCATTACTGAAGGCATGTTTCTTGTCTACTACACTTAACTCAGATCTGTCAGTCCCCAGAAAATTGAGACCAAACACAGGAATCCAATCCTGTTCTTCTCCAAACTTGCTACAAGCCATATAATTCTCATTCCCACACCCACCCTCTATTATACAAGTGATTGTACAAAAAGAGCACTTTAAAAGAGGTGCTGATACATATCTGGGCTCAAATAATATCTCCTATTTCTTTTCTTCTGTTTTTAGATTGTAGCGTCTTTAAAGGTAAGTTAAACCATTAATTTTTTCCTCTCTTGACAGTGAGTTTGTTTATCTATACATACACCTGTGTATGCAAAGAGAGATGTGTCTTGTGTGTATATGTCTCAATGTGTCCTGTGTTTGCATTTGCTGGCAGGCACAGCTATTCATGTCTGTATGCACGGGAGCAGGATTGTACATGTGTGGACACATGCATTCATGTTCTTGTTGAATACACATCCAAATTCTGTCTACTCTCATGAAACCTTCCATGAGACTGGCCGCTAGAACTCAATATTTCAGCATAAAAATATCACTTAGAGCAGCAGACCTACCTGTAGCATAAAGATGTATGTTGATTTTCCAGCAAGTAGTTAGAACACTTTGCTAAGTCACTGACTCCACATACTACAGTACATTATCTCCTTAAAAATACTACAGAATTAGAATAAATTATATTCCCGTGAGAAAGGCTCCAAATCCAGTTTCATTTGATGCCCCCATCTTCTCATTCTTCAGACCAACTCCTAATCAGTCATACCACTGTGAATGTGAAAAGTCTAATACAATTACTACTTAACATGATATTTCAGCTAAGGGCAGCCAAGTTATAACTTGTGCATATAAGCACTGAACAAGTTCTTCCAATCAGCAGAATGAAAAAAAAAATGTCCTTGTCAAGTAAAGTTTTCTAAAGAAATGCTTGTTTTCTCTGTTGGTTTTTATTTATTGCTTTCTCCCTTACTTTTCAGAAAACTATCAGAGAAGTGCTACAGCTCGGAAGTTTGTATACATCATGCTTATTTTCAAGAGCATTTTGTACGAGATGTTTGTGATGGGGCTGATGCCTAGGTCCAAGGAGAGGAACAGAGTTCTAGTCTGTACACATTTGTCCTAACTCATTCTAACTGTACAGGAGACCACTTTGGACAAAATGATGTCTTAAAGTTCTTATTTATATAAATCCACTTCTCTACAACTATATTGTGTCTCTCATCATTTTCAAGACAAGCTAGTGAGAATGAAGGGGAGGGTTTTAGACAAAAAAGAGGGTAAGAACTCCAGGGAGATATTGCACAAGACAATGAATGAAGTATTATCAAAATGTGTAGTCTTTTTGAAGAAAAGGGTAAAAAGGAAAATTAGGAAGAATAAGAAAATAAGAAAAATAAGAAAGACAAAGAAAAGCAAAGGAAGAAAAAAAAGAAGGATGCAACTCAGAAATAGGGAAGAGAATCCAATCTGTGGGGGAGGAGGAAGGGGAACCAGGCAGTGGTTCTTTAAGCTGTGTTTGTGGGCACCATTTCTGTGCAGTATAAACTATAAAAACAAGGGATTACTTATCCTGGAGAGTGTTTCTGGAGATCTTTTATCTACTTTGCATCTCATTCAGTTATTACCTTATGGCACAAGTTAAACAATTGGTAATTCAGAGGCAGCTCACTCGGGAATAAATGAAGAACAGAGTCATACCTTTTATGTATAGATGTATCCTAAATAGAGGTAGGAATAACACAGGCCAAGATAGAGGAGTGCTTGTGGACCTTTGGAAGCAGAACATCTGGGAATGCAATAGCAAGGCAGAAGGAATAGGAGGCGTAGAGTGGAGACCCTGAAGGGAGCTTCTGTCTAGCATAGCCAGGGTCTTCAACAGAAGGGGGAAATATCTCTGAAGGCCTCAGCAGAAAACCATACCTCAGAATTAGAGCAGATGACATGCCAAAATGTGCTTGAAAATATCTCTTTAAGGGAATAGCAGTTGAATTTTAGCCAAAACAGGATGCGGTTTGACATTTACTCAAAAAAAAACGTTTTGATAATGCATCAGCCTCTCTTACCACAACACCACCCCAGCCTCTCAGGATGAGGCACAGGGTGCAGCTCTCTGTTCACCGTATTACAGTTGGACAGAAATAGTGACACATACGAGCCTTATGAAAGCTGGTGGGTTTTTTGTCTCATGTTATCACACAATCTTCTTGTTACTGAAGTTTGCAGATGGGTTTTGCATGTGCAGCTGCTGTTTCTGTTGTGCAACACACAAAAAACGAAAGACTTGTGGGTTTTGGGGAGTTGTTGACCTGCTTGTACAAATTAAAAAAAAACCCACACTTTTTCTAGGTATCTCAAAACAGCAAAACAAGATGATAAAAATCATCTGGGACTTCTGTCCCATCATCATGGGACTTCTGAAGATCTCTCAATCCAAATTCCTGTTCAAAACAGGGCTAAGTCCAAAGCTAGATCATGTTGCTCAGAGCTTTGTCTGGGTGATTTCTGAATATCTTCAAGGACAGAGATTTTACAAGCTCTCTGAGAAATCTGTTCCAGTGCTGAAGTACCCTCAAGAGGAAGCATTTTTTTGTTATTTCTAACCAGAGTTTATCTTGCTGCAGCTTGTTCCCACTGGCTTCCACTGTGCTCCTCTAAGACTCTAACTCTGTTTAGGCAGTTGTAGTCATGCAAATAGCCATCCTTTAGCCTGCTCCTCTCCAAGATGAGCAAAAGCAATTCCCTCAGCCTCTCCTGTTATGTTTCTGCTCCAGTCCCCTGATCATCTTAGTGACCCTCTGCTGGACCCTCTACAATTTGTTGATATCGCTGTTGTACTGGGGCTGGGGCAGGGTGGGGGTGTGTATGGAGAATAGAGGTAGTATTCCAAATATAGCCTCACAAGTGCTTCAACATGCTAACTGCATTCTTGCTAATGCAACCAAAAATGTAATTAGCCTTTATTGCTGAAAGGGCTTGCTGCTTACTCACGTTCAATTGCTTTTCTGCAAAGCTGCTCCCTAGCCAGTCAGCTGACATTTAAATGACTCAGATAAAGTTCTTTCACCTTTTCCTCAGGGGATGTGCCAGTAATCCAATAACTCCTTTCCCAATGAAGAAATGCTGTGTAATAACCACAAATTGAAATTTTCCCTATAAGTTCAGTATGCTTATCCTGCATGTGTGGTAATATAGATACTCCTTTGCCCTACAGCATTTACAATATAATTTGACATAATTCAGATTGGGATAAGAATAATCTCAGAATGTGGATGCTGTGTCTGTAATTATGGAATGTTCCCATTCTATATTCTTTCTTTAAATCTTTCCAAAGCCCTCTGTCTGGAAACAGATTGTTATTCTTATTTATTTCAGAATGAGCAAATTATGCAGGTGACTTTTACATATCACAAGGACTTTGCTTAGTGCTTTCTTGCTGTAGGACAATTTAGGACAATTTGTTATGTTATCCTCATGGAATGCTTACACCAAAGAGTACCTCATGCTATGACTAATTCCACTGCATCAATGACACTATCTGGAATGGTGGTGCTGGAAAGACACTGGTAGGTCTTTGTGTGTGAGACACAAGATTCTTCATGCCAAATCTGAAGTATTCCATCAGGACAGGTTATATAATAAATAAAATTACATTCACATCCTGCTTGTTCATCCCTCTACATTTTTGTCTTCAAAATATGGATGCTCTCTGGAGCAGTGTTCATATTAGGGCTTAGCTCAAAGTCAGAGAGAACTACAAGACTTTGAATGAGGAACATCACAAAGTTGCCTGGGAGAAAAAAAATCTCAGAACTCATCCACAGAGAGAAGGAATAAACCAGATTAATATAGATTGTGTTGCTGCTTATTAGGCTGTGAGAGAGGTATAAGTTCAAGGCATAAAGAGAGAGATGTGACACACATAGTGGTATGTGCTTCACTATGTAGCCAGAAGTAAACTGTTGACAATCTTAGTTCTGTTCTCTTGTGATTAGGTTAACCTTTCCAAGCACAGTGAAAAGCATTGTGGCTTTCACTGCTTGATAATATTCAGAGGAATGACAGTGCACATACAAGTCACTATCTCTAAAGTATTTCAGACTTAGACATATGTATATTTCAAGTAACTGTTCTGTGTCAGGTAAGAAAATGGCTTCGGGGACAATAATTTGTGGCTGTGTAGATTGCAGTTTCCATTTCGTTTATTTTATGTCTGCATTTGATTAACAATTTTTATTGATTGTTCTGATGAGATAGAGAATAAACAGCTGATCAGGAAAGAGGAGTTCAGCAATTAACCTGCACTTCAAAGACCTATTCTGCCTCTCCTGTTCCAACCCCTCGGCAACATCTGGTTTGTCAATAGGCCTACATACCCTTTTCCTGTGCTGAGAGCGTCTCCCTTCTGAGCGAGGGTGCTGGAAAGGAAAGAAGTTTATGTAAAGAAAGCAAGTGACTTTGAAGTGTTGTGTCCAAACTGCTGGCACAGAAATAGACAGCTGAATGGTTCATCTTCACAGATAAAATGTCCAAATAGAAGTCTGTGAGGTTTAACCGGTTAGCTTTGTATCCAGTGTGAATGTCACCCTCTTGCTTCTGATTTACACCAATGGAATAATAGAGCAATTGCAGCTCCTTCCCCGGCTGCTGCAGGTACCAGCACATATAATTGTGATTATCATTTTGACTGCATGTCAGAGTAGCTTTCTCATCTTCTTTCAGTACAAGACTTGAGGTTTGGGTAATTTTAGCTCCTATAAGACAAAGCAAAACAAATACACAGTAAAACAAGTAAGCTACATTCTCCCAGAGCAGAGCAGGTATCATGGCTCTACTGATGCCTTACTTGCTCCAAAAAAGTACATGGCCACACACCAAGCTGTCCACATCCTCATTTCTGCCTCAGTAGTCAGTGAGCATGCCCCTATAAGGGATTTATATAGGTCCGTTTCACATGTTTCTCTTAAACCAATAGCAGAGATCTCTGTAACAGCTAAATCTATGTTGAAAACCAAGCTCCTTCCTGCAAGAAATGTCAAGCAAACACTTTTTTTGGAGTGTATCTGTTGAAAACGCACAGAAAGTTTCAAACTGACTCAGGTGGAAGTTTTTCTTATTCTATCAGACAGGATATTGTCATATATGACAATTGTCTTTTTTTTACCCTCGTATGTTTTATTTTACCTTTTGATAGATTGTTTCCAGAATACAACAGAAAATGTTTAGTGTAAGCCAGTAAAGTGGGGTTTTTTTGTATTCATGACTGCTGGAATTTTTTTCTGGAAAAAGAGCAAATACAATACATCTGCTCAGACCTTAATTATTTTTATTCCTTCATCTGTCAGAGCCAGCATTCATGATCTGGTTTTGGGAACAGCTTTATATGGGACCCTGTTTTAGCCTTACCACACACCAAAAGTGAAGGAAACGGGTTGTTCCTAAAGCAAACATCTAACAACTTCTTTTCCCTTAGTTGTCCCAACAGTACCTGTACTAATTATAAACCCAACTTCCAGGATTCAGGGTGATATCACTGTCTCCGATACAATCTTTTAACCTGTGTTAAGAAGACTGATCACTGTCCTACTATGGTATTTTGGACGCACAGTAGGAACCATCAGAGCAGTCTTATTTGCCATCTATAGCTTTTAAATGAGGCCCCAGAGACCAATGTCAAAATCAAACAACCCAAGATCTGTGCTACTGAAACTATTCTTTCTTATTTAAGTGAAAGGATACCATCTGGTGGAATGAATCGGTGTTTACAGTAATCCTTAGGGGCTGTATTTCCCACAGTTCTCTATTTTTGCATTGGCAGAACTGCATGGAAAGGGGACTGGAACTAATGCACCAGAGATACCTATGTCTGTTATTAAACTGATGACTGTGAAATGATGAATTGAAAGTGTCGTCTCAGAAATACACATGTTCTTTATATGTAGGAGAAAGATCTCAGAGCTGATATTAAGCATGGGACTTCACAAAGCCAACATAATGCAGGGGAACTCATGTGTGAAGTAGCTGATGAGGTACTTAACTAGTGACATGTGCTATGTAAAAGTTGTCCTAAGATTCAGGTAAATGGGATGGAAAAAGAAACCTGCTTTCACACAGAACACATAGTTA